CACGCAGACATGCTCACGCACTCACACGCACACACAGACATGCGCACACGCACTCACGACATGCTCTCACATGCACACACGCAGACGCGCACATACAGACACGCTCATACACTCACACGCACACGCAGACACACGCACACGCTCGCCATCCACTCTGTCATCTGAAAAGCCAAGAGGCAGTGACCTGGAAGGCATTTCTCATTCTATCACTTTCAAGTTTAGAAAAAGGGCAATACAGCTAAGAAATTTCACTTTTATAAATTAGGTCTTTTATGTCTTCTAAAGTCCCTCAGTCTAATTTTAACTTGGAACGTGACTTCAAAATGTCAAATTATAAACAACCCTCTCACGTGTCTGGATGGCTATAAACACAGCTGACCCAGTGGTTCTAGAAAAGGGGCTGGGGGAGGTGGATTACAGAATTCATGTTCCCCTCTAGTTACACACTTTAGAGTGTCAAAAGGTAGAATAACTTTTATTTAGCTCATAAGAACTGAAATCAATAAGGTGACTTTTATTTTTACTAGTTTAGAAATGACTGCTTCAGAGTATAGATTAAACCAAACCCCAGCTCGAGTATACCTTCAGTAGCTCTGAACTTCCCAGAATAAATCTTTCTCAACGTGATTTTTTTGCTGGGAGTTCAGTGTAACTGAGATAACTTCTCTGGATGATTTATATAGCTTTAACTTTAACCTCAAAAATTCCGTTATTCCCATGATGATGAGCGACAGAGTGGGAGTCAGGGAAGTTACAAACGTCTATATAGACGTGCGTGTAAATGGGCCATGTAAACCACAGAAGCTATGGTTTTAGAAAGGCAGGGAAGGAAGGAAAAGTGACTTAAGAAAGAACAGCCACTGCACAGCCTCGGCTGGCTGGGGCCAGGAAGGGTGCAGAGACACTGCTCTCCAGGGATTCCCGAAGTCTGCCTGAGATGCTTGTTGGGGCTGCCGGGTACGAGCGCCTCACCTTCCATACCGTCTGCCCTACTTCCATTCATGTGCAGAAGTGACAGCCTCAAGGACAAGATTTTACAAATGACCAGAGCGTTAGCCAGGGTCGTGTTTCATGCCCTCTAACCTGCCCAGTAGCCAGGGGACAACAGGGGGTGACTGTGAAGCACCCAGATCACCAGCGTGGGAAGGTGGGGAGCCCAAGGGGGTGGGGTGGAGCCTGCGGCAAGCCAGCCAAGGGAGCAGGAAACTCGGCGCTGTCACTTTGATCCCAACACCGTGTCATATCTCTCAGGACACAGCTTCTAAGTCACACCAACTAAGTCGCCCTTGAGTCCCCTCCCAGGGAGCAGCTCTGGCCGTCCCACTGCCTCCTCCCGCTCACGGGCAGGACCACAGGGGCAGGTGCTCCGAGCGGGGACCCTGTCCACTGCCTCCTCCCGCTCATGGGCAGGACCGCAGGGGCAGGTGCTCCGAGCGGGGACCCTGTGCACTGCCTCCTCCCGCTCACGGGCAGGACCACAGGGGCAGGTGCTCCGAGCGGGGACCCTGTGCACTGCCTCCTCCCGCTCACGGGCAGGACCGCAGGGGCAGGTGCTCCGAGCGGGGACCCTGTGCACTGCCTCCTCCCACTCACGGGCAGGACCACAGGGGCAGTGTGCTCCGAGCGGGGACCCTGTCCACTGCCTCCTCCCGCTCACGGGCAGGACCGCAGGGGCAGGTGCTCTGAGCAGGGACCCTGTGCACTGCCTCCTCCCGCTCACGGGCAGGACCGGAGGGGCAGGTGCTCCGAGCGGGGACCCTGTGCACTGCCTCCTCCCACTCACGGGCAGGACCACAGGGGCAGGTGCTCCGAGCGGGGACCCTGTCCACTGCCTCCTCCCCGCTCACGGGCAGGACCGCAGGGGCAGGTGCTCTGAGCGGGGACCCTGTCCACTGCCTCCTCCCGCTCACGGGCAGGACCGCAGGGGCAGGTGCTCCGAGCGGGGACCCTGTCCACTGCCTCCTCCCGCTCACGGGCAGGACCGCAGGGGCAGGTGCTCCGAGCGGGGACCCTGTCCACTGCCTCCTCCCCGCTCACGGGCAGGACCGCAGGGGCAGGTGCTCTGAGCAGGGACTCTGTCCACTGCCTCCTCCCGCTCACGGGCAGGACCGGAGGGGCAGGTGCTCCGAGCGGGGACCCTGTCCACTGCCTCCTCCCGCTCACGGGCAGGACCGGAGGGGCAGGTGCTCCGAGCAGGGACCCTGTCCACTGCCTCCTCCCCGCTCACGGGCAGGACCGCAGGGGCAGGTGCTCCGAGCGGGGACCCTGTCCACTGCCTCCTCCCCGCTCACGGGCAGGACCGCAGGGGCAGGTGCTCCGAGCGGGGACCCTGTCCACTGCCTCCTCCCGCTCACGGGCAGGACCGCAGGGGCAGGTGCTCTGAGCAGGGACCCTGTGCACTGCCTCCTCCCCGCTCACGGGCAGGACCGGAGGGGCAGGTGCTCCGAGCAGGAACTCTGTTCGCCGGCTGCCTTTATGAATGGTTTCTCTGTAGTTTTCAAAGACGGCATTATAAGCAGTATCGTGATCAAATTTTAATCATTCAATGCAATAAAAAATATTTGAGTGACAGCAAAATAAAAGCAGGGTTTCTGCCTCATGAGCTCACCATTTGGACCAATGAACGGACTGTGGCTCTCATCCCTGGATCGTTACACAAAACGAAGAAGGAAGGAAATTAAATTTTGTGTACCCTGAGTTATGCAGGCACAATGACTTTATTTTTTTATTTTACTTTTGAAATTTTTTTATTTTATTTTTTGGTCACCAAAGTTTTTAGTATTTATTTGTATTTATTTATTATTTTTTGCATTTTTAATTATTGAAAGTATTACAGATATCCCCCCCTTTTCCCCATGGACCCCTCCTCCCGGCTCCCACTCCCTCCCACCTCCCCAGCCTAATGTCTGTGTCCATTGGCTGTGCGTATGTGCATATAAGTTCTTTGGTTTATCTCTTTCCTCCCCTCCCATCCCCTTCCCTCTGAGGTTTGTCAGTCTGTTCCCTACTTCCATGACTCTGGATCTCTTTTGGTTGACAGCTTATTTTGTTCATTATGTTCCACAAATAACCGTGATCATGTGGTATTTGCCAGGCACAATGACTTTAAACGCGTAGCTTAATGATATGGGAGCAGCCTAAGTGCCCATCAATACATGAGTGGATTAAAAAACTGTGGTACATTTACACAACGGAATATTACTCGGCCATTAAAAAGAATGATACCATTTGGAACAGCATGGATGGACTCAGAGGGTATTACTCTAAGCGAAATCAGTCAGACAAACACCACATGAATTCCCTCGTATGTGGAATCTAAAGAACAAAATAAATGAATAAGACAGAAACAGCACTGGCCGGTTTGGCTGAGAGGGTAAGAGTGTAGGACTACAGCCCTGGCCGGCTTGGCTCAGCGGTTAGAGCGTCGGCCTGCGGTCCGGAGAGACCCGGGTTCAGTTCCCGCTAAGGGCACGTACTTCGGTTGCAGTTTGTCCCCGGCCCTGGTTGGTCGTGCGGGTGACAGCCACTCGATGTGTCCCTTCACATTGATGTTTCTCTCTCTCTCTCTCTCTTCCTCTCTCTCCCTCCCGCTCTATCTGAACAAAAAAATGGAAAAATGTCCTCGAGTGAGGATTAAAAAAAAAAAAGGAGGAGGAAGAGCGTAGGACTACAGACAGAAGGGTCGAGGGTTCGACTGCTTGTCAAGGGCATGTGCCTGTTGCAGGTTTGATCCCTGACCCTGGTTGGGGTCATGTGGGAGGCAACCAATTGATGTGTCTTTCTCACATCAATGTTTCTCTTTCTCTCTCTTTCCCCCTCCCTTCCATTCAATCCAGAAATCAATGGAAAAAATACCCTCGGGTAAGGAGTAACAAAAACTACAACGAAAAACAGAAACAGTCTCCTAGATGCACAGAACAGGCTGATGGCTCCTAGAGTTGGGGGTGCTGAGTGGAAAAGGCATTAAAAAGTACAGATGGGTAGTTACATAACAGTCATGGGGATGTAACATACAGCATAGGAAATACAGCCAATAACATTGTAATAATCATGTATGGCGCCAGGTGTGTACTAGACTTATTGGGGGATCACTTTGTAAATTATATGACTGTCTAACCACAATGTTATATCTTGAAACTAACAGAAAATAATATTGACTATCAACTATAATTTTAAAAATAGCTTAATTAATCCTTAAAACAGTCCTCTGACCAATCGGAAACACTATTTTATACATGAGGACCCTGGGTCCCCTCAAAGAGAAGCAACTTGCCTAGGGTCAAAGGCTGTAAAGTGGGAGCAGGTGTCCGTGGTCTGAGCCCCAGTCCACCGCCCACCCTGCATGCCTGTGAATCGTGTCGGCTGACAGCCCACGGGAGTCGCCCACACCTGCGAGGGAGAGCAGCTGCTTCCCTCTCGTGCCCTCGCTCAGACTGAGGCGAGCTGGCCCACGGTAGCTCAGGCACGTGGGTGAGGGACGCACTCGTGTGGGACCGAACTGTCGGACACATGAGACGATGAGATCATGAAACACACACGATTGGGAAGACCCGAATACCTCGAATGTGTGATGAGCTCAGTAAGGGGAAGGGGCGGGGACCTGCAGAATGTGGAGGTGATCCTGACAGCGGAGGGGCGAGTCCCAGGGGACCCATCCCCCACACTCTGCCTTGGAGTCTTCCGAAGCCTGCGTCTCGGGAAAGGACTGGAGAATGTGTTGCAGACCATGTCAGAGCAGGGGGGAGGCTGCAGCAGGAGCGTGGACGCCTGCCACCCCAGCTGCCACGGTGGGGACCCCCAGACTGTGTCCTTGCACGCTGCTGTGAGGCTGCCAGACTTTTAGTTGAATAAAATCACAAGTATTTTACTCCTAGTGATCAAAAACACACAAAGGAACCAGTGGGATTTCAAAATTAGAGCGGATTCGTTTCGGGGGGAAGTGCTGGGACCAGGGTTTCCGAGCGTCTGGCTAACGAGCACCTGCCACGGGTCCCTCCCAGCTGGAGACCTACATCCAGGACAACGTGAAGAAGGAGATGGCGGAGCGGCAGCAGAACTCGGTGCAGAACCAGACGGCGGCGATGATCGAGATCGGAACCAGCCTGCTCAACCAGACGGCCGAGCAGACGCGGAAGCTGACTGACGTCGAAGCCCAGGTGAGCGAGGTTGCAGACGCCCGGCGGGTGGCCGAACCCACAGGCCGGGCTCGGGAGAAGAAGGGGAGATGCACAGAAAGGGGGGGGCATAGCAGGAAAACAGGACAAATTAGCGAGGATTTAAGAACTTGTGGCTAGAGAGGAATTAAAATCAGTAGACACATTTTCCTGTTTAGCGCTGAGGTTAAATCATGTTTATTCTACTGAGGACATTCCGATCCCGTTCATATTCTTCACTCCTGGCGACCAGGGGACAAACGCTCCCAGCCTGATGGCACTTCTGGACGGTAGATGCTCTCTCCATCTCTACGTCCCCCACCTTTAGACGCGCTGAGAAATGAAAGGCACTGAGGCAGAGGGCCGAGCCTTGTTCTTCCATCTAATCTTCAGGTAGAGCCTGAAGGTCAAAGGCAGGTGGAATACTCAGTGGTGTACGTCTGTACAACTGCTCTGAGTCTACACCACCGGGCCTGGGAGCCAGAGCAGCAGGCAGCAGAGTGCTCGGGTCCGAGCCTGCCCACCGCTCTCCGGACTCCGCAGTTCTTTTTTTTTTTATTTCTTTTTTTTTTTTTTATTCTCACCCGAGGACATTTCTCCATTTTTTGCACAGATAGAGTGGGAGGGAGAAAGAGGAAGAGAGAGAGAGAGAGAGGGAAACATCGATGTGAAAGGGACACATCGAGTGGCTGCCACCCGCACGACCGACCAGGGCCGGGGACAAACTGCAACCGAGGTACGTGCCCTTAGCGGGAACCGAACCCGGGTCTCTCCGGACCGCAGGCGGACGCTCTAACCGCTGAGCCAAACCGGCCAGGGCCGGACTCCGCAGTTCTGACCGTAAACGAGGGCCGGGCCCACGGCTGGCTGCTCCGTCCCCTTTCGGCTTTAAGATTCTGTGGGGTTAAAGAAAGCTGGTGGGATTTCAGGCTCAGCCACACACCCCGAGGTCCAGTCCCTGGATCTTCAGGTGACAGTCATGAAAAGGTAAGACGCAGAGCTGGGGTGCAGACCCCCACGGCGCCCTGTGTAAGTCGGACCTACCAGCATTTGAAAGGCTTTGTGTGGTTGGGTCCATGATTTTATTTTATTTTATTTATTATTTTTTTTTTTTATCCTCACCCGAGGATATTTTTCCTTTTTTTGTACAGATAGAGTGGGAGGGAGAGAGAGGAAGGGAGAGAGAGAGAGAAACATCGACGTGAAGGGACACATCGAGTGGCTGCCACCCGCACGACCAACCAGGGCCGGGGACAAACTGCAACCGAAGTACGTGCCCTTAGCGGGAAACGAACCCGGGTCTCTCCGGACCGCAGGCCGACGCTCTAACCGCTGAGCCAAACTGGCCAGGGCTGGGTCCATGATTTTAAACATCTGTTGTGAAACTACGTATCACGTGACCCAGCACAACAGGAACACGGGGAGACGGCTGGAAGGAAGAGAGCCTATCACGACCAACTAGACACATCAGAATGGTCGAACCCGAGCCAGGACAGCCGGAGGCCGCGTGGTGGAACCACCAACTTCAAGCATGGGCGAGCAGCTTCCGCGTGAAATAGGTTTAAGCCCAAAGAGGGACATTTCTTCATGAAGCGAGACTCTTGTAGCTTGGTAGAGACCATGACAGTGGACGGTGAGGGAGAGCGGGTGTCTGAGACCTGGGACAGCAGAGAGCCACCAACAGCCCGGACGGAACCCACCCGCAGGCCTTCAGGGGCCACAGCAAGCACTGCGATTGCCCCTGGGTCAGTGGGGACGACATGCCACCCTCTGCACCCCTCCCCCACTGCCCCCTTTTCATGGCCTTTAGGGTTAAATAAAAGACCCGAATTTCCACTTCCTTTTAGCAACAACCAACACAAAATGTTTGGTCCCAGAGATGAAGGCCAAATCCACGCTCCAGGTGTTCATGTTAAAACCCAGCCCTGGTGCTGGCCCATGCCGTAGGTCACTCACTGAGGCGTGCTCGGTCCGGACTCACCCAGCTGTGACTCAGGACCGGGCTGTCCCTAACCTGCGGGGGCCAGGCCCGGCCTTTTATGAATGACACGGACCCCGAGCAAACAATGCTTCCTCCGAGGTCCCTCATTCCCGGGCAACAACTCTGCCGTCCACGTCCACGTGACCTCACATCCTGAGAATCCAGGACACACAGGATGTGAGTAATGGCGTCTTCCTGCCAAAAGGCAGCCAAACGCGAAAGAATTCATCCTCGCGGTGGTGGGGCACCGTGGGGCCGGGGCCGGGGCCCGTGCCGGAGGCCCCGAGCCGCTCTGGCATGGCTGTCTCCTCACGGCTGATGCGGTGCCCAGAACGAAACACGGACTGGTGATGACGGTGCCCAGGAAACGCTGGCTCAGACACGAGCTGTTTGTCGCGTGGACGCGGGACTTCTGACCGCTGCCTCCGACACGCAGGCGGGCAGCATCTGAGCGGAGGCTTTTCCTTCACTGACACTTTCTGGCACATGAAACACGACCACTCCTGCCCCCGGGCCTCACTGCACATGACAACACACGGCAGAACAAGAACACTGACACTTACTATTTGACACACAGGCTGTTGTCAGCAATATTAACACTTCTCAACATAAAGACCCGGTTGAAAAACGTGTACACACACTCACTCTGACACAGCCCAGGAAATCAAGACTCTTCTGGTAACGGAAAACACCCACAACAAGATACTTGGGTAAATGCAGAATGCTTTACTGATGCTTTCTATCATTTAGATAACTTAAGGAACACGCAGCTCTGTCTACTCTGAAAATGCTAAGCAGGAGTTTCATCTGTTATATTTAGGTGTTGAATCAGACCACGAGACTCGAGCTTCAGCTTCTGGAACACTCTCTTTCTACAAACAAGCTGGAAAAGCGGATTCTGGATCAGACCAGTGAGATCAACAAGCTGCAAGACAAGAACAGGTAACGAAAGCACAAAACGTTTTATCACCTGAAAGACCATTTCATGTGGCTGTTAAACAGAAGTGTGGCTCCCAAAACGCCGAACTTCTTAATTTAACATTTCACCAGGATCAGAGCCTCTGTGCGGGAGGGCTGGGCAAGGGTTTGGGGGTGCTGAAGCAGTGCGCACCCGCTAACGCTCCCCATTCTGCCCTTCACTCTCTGGCCCTTGAGGACCCTGTTCCGCAATCCTCCAAACTCTGCCCCCGTACTGGGAACCTGCCGCCACCACGGTGGACAGAGTGAAGCTGGCCGGCGCGTTTCCGCTCTGACCACACTTACATTGTAAACCAAAGCGGGTCTCATGATGTGATATTTACTCCTAAAACATAAAGATTAGCTATGATTATATTAGTATTTAAATATAAAAATATAAAAAATCCCAAGAAAACCAACACAAAAACAAAGATTACGGAGATTTCTCTTCCTGCCGGGGGTGACGAGGACGACTGTACCACATGCCTGGTGCTACCTTCGCGTCTCTGACCAAAGTGACAGTGACCGGAGTCCGACAATACCCTTCCCCTTCTACCTCACAATGAATTAATTACGAGTCAGTAATTCTTTGTTCTTAACCCAAAATGACGATAAACCGTCTAATATGCAATCTTGCCTGTTAATCCAGAACTAAGCTGAAACAATTCCTTCTGTTTTTTGGGGTACCAAGTTTAACTCATTAATTTAAATTTGAAAGAGCAAGTCAGTTTTTTAAAAATATCCTCTCCTGAGGATATTTTTCCATTTATCTTCTGATAGAGTGGGAGGGAGGGAGACAGAAACAGAGAGAGACGTGGATGTGAGCGACACACCGACTGGCTGCCTCCCACACGACCCGACCAGGGCCGGGGACTGAACCACAACCCGGGCATGTGCCCTGGACCGGAACTGAACCTGTGACTCTTTGGTCCGTGGGCCAACGTTCTAACCACTGAGCAACCGGCCAGGGCGAGCAAGTCCATTTCAAAGGAAACGCGTTGGGACTGTGGCAGGGCGGGCCAGCTGGGGGAGCACACCCTGCACCGAGCCCTGCGCCTTCCTTCGCTCTAACTTATGCTGCAGGGCGGACAGTCCCGCTCAGGGCATCGCTATGTTGCCCAGATACCACGTTTGCAGAGACTTGCCAAGTCTGTTGCCCTTGACCTGAAGGGGAGCTCACCCCGAGCTCAGGCACGCTGTCCGTCCTGCTGCTGTGACAGACGGACCTGCCCGGCTGAGCTGCGCTGACACGGGGTCCCCGCACGTGGTGGAATTCCTCTGTGTGAAAGCTGCACCGCACGCAAACGAGGGACCCCACCCCCGGGGGGGGGGGGCTGCGCTTTCTGATCACTCTTGCTTCTGCAAGTCTCACGTCTTGTCCACACAAAGGCTCCACATTCCCCCCGTTTAACTCACAGTGACCCGTCAGGCTCTGGCCCACTGTTCTAATCCAGTTTGGTACGAAATAAAACGTGAACATCACATTTTCTCCATAAAACCCCCTTGTCAAACGTATCCAACAAACTGGAACTTCAGGTGACTGGCTCCACACCTGGCCGGGGGTCTGACTGGAGCGGCCCCAGAAGGGCCTGAGTGACCTGCGGTGGCCCAGGTACGGGGGGCACAGCCTCCAGCAGCCCCCTTCCCACAACACCGCCCGAGACAGGCCTCCACCTGCGGGGACGGCCGCAGGATCACGTGCTCTTTAGTCATAAATATGCAACAAAAGGACCACAGTGAGCTTTTCTTTTCCACCACCAACCGTAAATAAATGAAGATAAGAAAACTGTGCCGCAGGAAGTCTGGCCCTCTGTGTTTCCAGTGCCTTGAATTCTGACTCAGCTGAGACTGCACTTGCAAGAACGTCGCAAACGTGTGAATGTTCTGCCCGTGACAGGCATCATTTCAAATCAGCTTTGGGGTTCCCCCGAAGTACAACTGCTCTCTCTAAGGAAAAGTTTCAAGTGAAGTATTTACCAGGGTCAACATTTTTCTTAAAATCGCCACTAGGACTCTCAAACTCCCCAGCTGAGGCAGCAAGGTCCTGTGGGCTGTCCATCTCATCAGCCCTTAACGCTGTCCCTTCGGAAGACAGGTGATGGACACTCAGAAGAGAAACACTAGTCAGCCTGGGCATTTCTGCTGCACAGACCATTCCCCACACCTCGCACCTGACCACGGACGACGTCAATTAAATTCCAGCTCTACCCAAGCCCAGCTTTTACGGTGATGATCAAATCTATCATCTTGCATCAGGAAATCAAGTAAGATGCTGACGAGCAAACCTTTCCACGAGGCAGGTCCCCCTCCTGCCCATCTGCTCCTAGCGCCCCTCACCGTGCACCACGGTGTCTGTGCGACGGATCAAGTTCCTGCTGCGAATTTACACTGTTCTCACCTGCTTCATCCTGTTCACACTGGACCTTCGAACAACTTGGGGGGTAAAATCCATATATAATTTTTGACTCCCCCAAAACTTAACTACCCTCTGGAGTCACAGGGGATTAGTTCTAGAAACCCTCATGGATCCAAAACCTGCGGATTCAAGTCCCCTGCATACAATGACATACGTCAGTGCATGTAGTCAGCCTCCTCCACAACCTTGGACAGAACCCAGTACAGGTAGTTGTTGAAAAATCCACGTGCCAGAGGACCCACAGTGCAAACCGGTGCTGTTCGAGGGTCAGCTGTATATCATTTTCTCTCATTAAGAAGATGCCAGTGGCGACGACCGAAACTGATGTCACAAGCCAGTCCCGGGTCCCGGTCTGCCTCTCGCTCAAGGCGGCCCTGGAAGACGACCTGAGACCCCCGAGGTCCTGAAGGCTCTGTCTTCACCGAGGCCGGTGCGCTCAGAGCCCCTCTGGCCCGCGATGACCCGAGATCGGGCCTAACTCTTGCCCTGACGATGAACCCTCTCCAGCGACAGTGGCAGAGCTCCGGGAGAGACGGGCTCAGGTTCTGGAGGGAAGATCTGCTCCTGAGCGCTTTCCTGCTCCTTCACGCCCTGGACCACAGCCACCGTGTCTTTCACAGAACATTTAAGGCCACGGAAGGCGACACGGTTCTGCAGGCAGGCAGACAAGGGGCAGAAACGCCCTGCGTGATTTATGTCCACTGTTCAGGCGCTGCAGGAGTGTGTCCGAGGCATCGTGCCTGGACGCTGAGATCCTACCAGCAGTTTTAGGTAGAAAGCAAACGCTTTATGCATTTATTTTCAGGTTACCCTTCTCCTGCTTAGGGTCAGTCATCTTGGTTTTTAAAGGAATGAAAGTGACGTACAAATGGGAAACAGTAAGTTAGCTTGAGAGCAAGAAAAACATTAGGAAAGGACAGTGGAAAGCGGACGTGGTCAAGCTGATGCCTAATGCGAACGACCACATTCGGGGAACGCAGGGCGCACCGATGCAAATGACCGCGCCCCGGGGACGCAGGGCGCATTGACTCCGGCGCTGACAGTGTCTCACTCCGACTTACGACGGCCCCGGGCTGGGGTGCACATACGAGCTGCAATCGCGTTTCTAGTCACACTGACCACACTGAAGGTTAATGCTTACAGTTACAACCTTCAGTGCGTGGTCAGTTCCGTGGGGAGTCAAGCTGCTCACGGGGGTGGAGACTGAGAAAACGTTACTGCCCCAAAAAGGCAGAGCAGAGTTAGAGTACGTGAAGCAGAGGGGCCTCGGAGACCATCCAATCTAGTGCCTTCGTTTAAGACAGATTTATTTCCGTAGCGGCTACTCACTGAGATCCAGAGAGTGGCCAGCCTGCCCAAGTACCGCAGGTGGTCACGTGAGGGGCCAGGTGCTCAGCCTGGGCTCTTCCCACTGCCCACATGAGCTCCAATGCCCAGGGCGCCCCCCTTGTCCACATGCCTCTGCAGTGAAGTAGGGTCTCCAAATGCCCCATGTGGTAACCCCGACCTCCTGTTCTCACCAGGGCGCCCCCCCCCCCGTCCACGTGCCTCTGCAGTGAAGCGGGGTCTCCAAATGTCCCATGTGGTGACCCCAACCTCCTGTTCTCACCAGGGCACCCCCCACCCCCATCCACGTGCCTCTGCAGTGAAGCAGGGTCTCCAAATGCCCCATGTGGTGACCTGACCACCTGTTCTCACCAGGGCCTTCCTCCCTGTAGCTGTAGCTGTGTCACCTCGTGTCACTTCATGTCACAGCTACGGTCCAGGCTCGGGAGCGAGCGCGAGGCCCCGAGGGCTGCGGCCCCGTCTGCACTGCCCTATAGACGCCTGCAGGAGGTGACGAGCCGGGCGCGGGGCCCAGGGGTCCTCAGCACACCTCGCTAACTGACCTCTCCCTCACCAGCTTCCTGGAGAAGAAGGTGCGCGACATGGAGGACAAGCACACGGCCCAGCTCCAGTCCATGAGAGAGGAGAAGGAGCGGCTGCAGGGGCTCGTGTCCAAGCAGAGCTCCGTCATCGGCGAGCTGGAGCGGCAGCTCGAGACGGCGGCCGTGAACACCTCGGCCCTGCAGGAGCAGCAGCGCGACCTGATGGAGACCGTGCACAGCCTGCTGACCCTGATGTCCGCGCCCGGCTGTGAGTGGGGCCCGCACCGCCCCGGCTCAGGCTCAGCGGCCTGCAGGCGGAGGAACTCTCAGGCACACAAAGTCCTCATCCTTCAGGGAAAGGCCCTCGTTCTCGCACGTGCATGACCTCAACACGTTACAGGGTCTTGACGTAGAACCAAGTGAAAAGGAGAACATGGAAGGAAGGGGGGATATATTTATACAAATTAATTATTGTGAAGCAAAACAGCCCGATCATACTTTTGATTTATGGGCATCAAAGAGCCTATCGGAGTTCATTCCATCCTTAACTGGACATATGAGGCCGGGAGAGGTGATGTCCTAAGTGGGAGAGCAAGCCTGGACCCAGAGGGTGTGTGCAGACCAAATGAGACGATGACACCTGAGTGACTGGCGTGACGCTGGCCCCTCCACCACGTCCTCACGTGTGTCCTGCCCTCGCGGCGCTGGCTCATCCCCCACGGAAGGGCTGCATCTCGTCGTTCATTAGAGATGTGACACACAGTCATCGTGCATTTTTAAGTTTTTTCTTAAACAAATGGGGTCTAGTTCCTGCTATGGTTTATCTCCTAATGTCCTCTCAAATATGTACTCTTCAACACAGATACATTTACATGTGAATCATGCTGAGATACTTGTCACTGATAACTAACACGTTCTCATACTCCCCTCGAGTCGTGCAGTTACCCCAGTTTTAACAGAAGCACTTAAACAAGGTTTCCACTTCAACAAGGACACGCAAAACTGGCGGCGCCACTGGGGTGCTCGGCGGCCGGTTTCACACCAGGTGGGCAGTTCGCCACCTGTGTCCTCCAACAGTCGCAAACGCATATAGTTTAGGAAAAGTGCATTTTTGTCACTTTCACAGAAAAGGAACAGACACTCATTTAACATTGTCTGGGGGGGACCAAGGCAGTGTGAGGTGTGAGCTTGGGTCGGCCAACGCAGAGAATTATGTGGCTTGGATCCCAGCTGCACAAGGGAGCAGACGGAGGGCAGAAGAGGCCCCGTCCCCCGTCCACCTGTGATGCCCACACCAGCCGCAGATACCTGTGCATGGTAGAGCTCTCCAATGCAATGCCAGGAAACACCTGCGAGAACACGCGCACACATACATATGCGCACGCACGTGCACACATGTGCACACACACGCACGCATGCACATACAGGCACACACACACATACACGCACGTGCGTGCACGCAATACAGGCACGCACACATACACATGCACACACACATGCACACACATACATACATGCACACACACACACATGCACACACTTTTTATTTTAATGTGGCAAAAGGGATTGGAAAGTCTGAATGTTGAAACTGGAAAGAATTTCATAGTCTTGGAATTTTTAGACGTAGATGAAGAACTTCTAAGGCACAGATACATCCACGTTAGGTCCCCCTTTCCCACAAACTCTTATGGGACAGTGGCTAAAAATCCAAAGGACAGTGAATGTCTTAACCCAATAGTCTGAGGACACACATAAAGACGTGGCCTCGGAGGTATGAAAAGAAGGGAAAGCACGAGCCCGCCCGGGCGGGAGCCGGCCTAGGGCCGCGCAGCACTGCTGGGGGACGCTGTCAGTGGGCGTGGCCGCCTGTCCTCCTGCGGGACTGTATCTGGTCCTGCGCAGATGGAAGGGTTGGCACAGTGGCGGCTGAAGTGCTGCCGTACACGTGGCGGCTGACAGAAGGGGGTGCAGATCAATACAAAACAGGCTGGAAGAGGAACTTTTTTGGTAAAACACTGCATGTCCTTTTCAATTACTACAAGAATTCAAATGCTATAAACCTTCCCAAGTGAGTGCAGCTTGAAACCCCGCCTCCTCTCTTCCCAGGGACTCCATGTAAACGCTCTTCTGTTTCTCACAGCAGCTAAGAGCACCCCCGCCGCCAAGGACGAACCGGTCATCTTCAGAGACTGCGCGGAGGCGTTCAAGGCAGGCCTGACCACCAGCGGGGTCTACACGCTGACATTCCCCAACTCCACCCAGGAGATCAAGGTGAGGTGCCCCTTCCAGGTCTCACTCCCGGCTGCGAGTGGTCCCCACAGCCCGGATCCGGCCAGGCGTCACTCACAGGGACAGCGGGCTGCAGGTCCAAGCCCTGTCTGTGCCCATCGCTCAGCACGCGACGCTGACGCCCTGGCTCGTCCAGCCCCCACACTCCCCTGGCCGTGGGCTTGGCCGTGTGCAGTCAGCTGTCTCCCCTGAAGTGTGACGCTCCCCGTTATGTTGAAAGAAAATACCTTCCAATACCAAGAGCCTGAATAACCACAGTTGGTCTTTCAGTCGTTACTTCAAGTAACGGTGGTACTGCACCCCCAGGAAGGGCTCACCAGCTGCGCGGTCCTCACTGCGCGAGCGGTCACACCTCCTTCCAGCACACGATCAGCCTAGGCACACGCGGCGCGGCGCAGCTGGAGCGAAATCACACTGCCTTGGGGACACCCGAGGTGAGGCCGGCTCCCCCAGGGCGCCTGCGGCGGTCTGACCCACGCCGGGCACGGGCAGGTTCACGCACTTGTGCTTGTGCGCCATCGGTGCAAACGCCAACTCAGCGGGAAAGACCTGCAAGGTCTTGGTTTTACTATGGAAACCGCGTCAGCCTTGTGGACCTGCTGGAGGGTCTGGGACCCCCGGGAGCACACAGGCCACGCCCCAAGGCCTCAGGGGGAGGCCCCTCTTGCCAGGCTGCTGTGGGCGGGCAGGTCAGCACAGTGCCACAGAGCAGTGCGTTGTCTTCACCAGGACAGGCGTTCACTCTGGTGCGGCCCCACCCCCGACCGTGCAGGGTGACCGGCAAGCCCAGCAGAGCCTGCCGTCAGGGGGCGCGAGAGCCCGACTTGGCGCACTGGTTCTGGACTCAGTACTGGGAATACTCAATGTGGCTTTCCTAGAGGTCTGATGGGCTGGGATAATACTATGAGAATCAGTTATACACACGTGGGAGGACTGTGGATAATAAATGCAGATAAACATGTTTGCATCTAACTGTAAAAGCAGCTACAGAGAATCTAAGCTTACGGGAAAGGCACTGGATACTGTATCACAGCGGAAACCTCAGAGACCCGGGGCAGTGTTCTCTCCTGGACTCGGTGTCATCCTCAGCACAGTACTAAAGGGAAACTTTCAAAGGATAAGCATGACAGGCTTGAAGACATGGGGTTTGAAAGAGCAACATCCACCTTGATTATGAATTCAAAAGACAAACAATGTGTTCCTGAAGATAATACTTTCCAAAGAAAGCTCTCTAATTCATTCAGGCTGCTTTAAACCAACCCTGACATCAGCTCATGTCCCTAGAAGCAGCGGGGGAGAGAAACCCCAAACGCGCTGTGCGGACGAGACGGTGATGAGCAGACCTAAGCTCAGCCTCTCAACCCCTCTGCACCCTGCCTTCCACGGCAGTCCTTGGGGTGCTGCGGCCTGTGACCAGAGGCTGGGCTCCTCTGGCACAGAGATGAGGGGACAGACAGAGTGGTCGGAGGAGGGGACAGACCAGAAGTGACCACCACTGACACAAGCCCAGGAGGACAATGGCCACACGGCTGCTGCTGGGCTCCCGAGACCAGCCCGACCGGCACATGACACACCCGCAGCATGAGGGGGACACAGGACTCCGGGACGGCATGGGTCTCTGGTCGCAGCTGGAAACATTACGACCCACGTCCGTGTAAACATCTGCGGTAACTCACGCACACGGCAGGGAGCAACAATCTTTCAAGCCTCGATTTCCTTATCTCTGAACGAATGGTCCAGATTAAGTTCCTTAGATTCCCTTCCAGACTTAAGACCCCATCATTCACAATCTGATCTGGGACGAGGAAATCGCATGGGTTTGGGTTTAAATTCTGGCTCTGCCAACTGGTGCCTCAGAGTAAGTCACTCACGCTACGTGAGCCCTCAGACTCCTGATCTGTCATGTACCCGACCCCCACCCCATCTTAAAGAGTGATTCGAGGTCACCGTGGAGGTGCAGCCCCAGGTGGGACTTGGCACCCACCATCCGCCCAGGAGCGGGAGTCGTGACCACTGCGCGTGCCCGCAGACCCCAGGAGACCACAGCTCGGCGTGCAGGGCACCCCTTTTGCCCTGCTGCAGCCAATTCAAGAAATGAGCGTTCAGGAGGTCCTCGGGCCTCTCCGAAAGGCCCAAATACTTCAACTTGAGTTTTGCAAACCTCGTTGGGTTGTTCCGCATAGACAGACACTGAAGGATGGCAAGTAAGGGAAGCCCTCGTGTGTGTGCTGGTCGGAGACACGAGCGTTTCCTTCCCGGGTTCACGGGACACCTGTCTCCTGACGCTTATCTTCGTGTTGGTGTCTGCTGGCCTCAGAGCTGGGGCGCGGCCTTGAAGTCGGGCATTACTTGCCGAGACGCGTCAAGATTCAGAGCAAGCCCCCCGGGCCTGGGCCATGCGATGGTGCCTGGTCACAGTGCCACTGCCCTCGGGCTGCTGGCCCTGGCACGAGGTCCTGGGCATTCTCAGGGCTCCCGCCCCCCTCCTGACAGCATCTGCTTTGTCTTTCCACCCAGTGCCCTCTGGCCACGCGGACAGCTCTCTCTGAGTTTCCCGACCCAGTCAGCCATAAAAACATTGGTTTTCATGAGCTCTCCGCTCTTGTGTGTAAATCTGGAGCCACAGTGAGGAGACGGTCTAACGATGGAGAGTTAGAGAATTATACATGGCTGCAGCCGCTCATGCACCTGCAGTGACCCTCAGCCACCCCAGAGCCCCGACTCTGATTTCCCAACAAGATGAGCCGGTTCCCCGACTTAGCATCCGTAACTTCGGAACAATGACTGACATCAAAGGACCACCACGCATTCTTGGAACAAGGACAGGCTCACTGAGAACCGCGTCGACTCTGTCCGCCCACGGGAATGCCGTTCAGGATTCCGGGAATTAACGGCTCTGCACACACACAGCTTCGTGAACCAAGTGGGGTTTTCAAAGGCATACTGATGAATGTGAGCAGCACTGGCCATTTGGGGGACCACGGGCCGGTGGGAGGAGGATCATTTGTGAGCCGACTTCAACCTGGAACTGTGTGGAGGGGCTTCTGGCCTGTTGACAAAGGGGCACGTTTCTGTTTCCGGAAGCGGAGTGTAGCAGGAAGATGCTGCATAGCTAGGAACTAGAGACGGCGCGTTCAGAGCCTACGTCCTACCCAACAGCTGGACGACGGTCATGCTCCCAAAGGGCAGGGTCACCGCATCTTCGCAGAGGAGCCCTGCGATCAGAGGACACGTGCGTGGGCTTCGCCCGGCGCCCAGCAGAGTGTGCGCCACGGTGACCGAGCACGGTGCGCCACGGGGTTCCCTTGGGCAGATCGGTGTTATATGTCTGATTAGCTTAAAACGGGAAATGCGTTTTATCCTTAATAAACGTGATTTTCTTGTTAGTGGAACGTCTTTCCCAACACGAGGGGCCTCAGGGACAGCGATCGGGGCCGAGCTGCCCTGTGGGGGAGACTGGGAGGGAGGCAGAGAAAAGCACAGGCAGCGGGCGAGCCCACAGTGGAAGAGGGTCTGGCCCCGGCTCTCCGGCCTCACGCGGATGCCTGAACTCACTCTGCCCGTGGAAACCGCCAGAGCAGGGGCTGTCCTCACTGGTCCGGGACCTTCCCCGCCTGGTATGCTGCAGGGAAATTCATCTTCCCTTTCCGGAGAACGTTCTCGTTCTACTATAATCTCATTATTTAAAACTATTTGTGTAATCTCATTTTCGGGGTTTGAGTTTCACAGAAAACCTCCAGCCGAGCTGGAACAGAGCTGTCTTAGCCCAGGAGTCCGTGTTCTGGGCAAAGTGTGAGCCCGCCGAGCCAGCCCGAACGCAGACACCAAGCGCCGGGAGGGGACATGCCACAGGCAGTGGGCAAAGTGCAGAGACCCTGGCGCGTGCCCGTGGGGCAGACGGCCAGGCCATGCGCAGGTCACAGTGGGCACGTGGTCCCTCGGGCCCCGTGCACTGAGGGATGGGCTGGCAATTCTGACTTGGCCCCACGACACACCCGGGGACAGGGGTCTTGGGAACCCTGCCTGGCAAGGGGACCCCTGTTGCGCCGATAGGCCGGGCAGCGGTCATGGAGCGTTTCCACAGGCGGAGCTGCAGGGCGGGGCCGGCCTCCCAAGGTCTCATTTCACACGACTCTCTAAGGAGCAGCCGTCGTGGAGTCGGCTGCTGGGTGACAGGCCTTTAGCGTAAAACAGATGACAAGAAAGTCCATTTTCACCACCAGATTGTGTTGTATTACTGTTTCTTTCCACCAGTTTAAATTCATGGTTTTCAATGTATCTAAAACCATCTGTTTCTTAGAAGACCACAAAGATTTATCCCCCCAGAGCCCCAAGAGCACATGTTGTTGTGGGATCTGCCTTCACCTCAACCTTCACCCCGAGCAGGGAGCCCGGGCCCCCTCCGCACACGCGGTCACTGTGCTCTTCTCGTTGGCAGGCTTACTGCGACATGGAAACTGCCGGAGGGGGGTGGACCATCTTTCAGCGGCGTGAAGATGGCAGCGTTGATTTCCAGAGGACTTGGACGGAATATAAAGTGGTATGAATATTCATTAAGTCATCTGCAAGTAATTTTCTTTGTGCAAAATAACTTTCCTAGACCTGCAGAACTTTTACCACGAATCCCAACGAACCAGTGGCTTAGGAGAGTTCTTTCTTGAACCAAGGGGTCCTTTGAACGGGGGTGTCAGTCCTGCTGTTAAAGAAACAACCCGGCACTGTCATGCCAACCACACAGCAAGGCAAGGGCGGGGGGCCCGGGCTGCTTTGGAGGGCAGGCTCCGGCGCTGGTGAGCTGCCGGCCTCACGCGTCCGGGCGCCGGCTCTGGGCACGCAGGCTCCGGCTGGCAGTTCCCCGAGCTGTTCTGACGCTTCCAACACCCACTTCCTCCTTGGGACAGCTTCGTTTGTCACAGCCGACCTCCCACGGTCCCGCTGGGCTCTGGAGGAGCCCGGGCTCTCCCAGGGCGGGAAGCAATCTCTGCTGAGTGTGCGACTGTGGCTGCAGGCTGGGCGGGGGAGCGACAGACCCCGGCGGAAGGCGCAGGGCGGGGCTGACGCTCACTGCTCCGCTGCAGGGCTTCGGGAACCCCTCCGGCGAGCACTGGCTGGGGAACGAGTTCGTCTCGCAGGTGACCAACCAGAAACGCTACGTGCTGAGGATCCGCCTCACAGACTGGGAGGGCAACGAGGCTCAGGCCCTGTACGAGCACTTCTTCCTCTCCGGCGAGGAGCTCAACTACAGGTGAGGCCGAGTCCCTGGAAATGCCGAGGGTCCCGCGGATGCTCCTCCCAGGGCGGGAGACGCCGGGGCAGGAGCTCGGTAGGCAGACCTCTTGTTTCTTAGATTCTTCGCTGCCTTCGGGCCAGTTTCTCCGGTTCTGAAGTTTAACTGGCTTCAGCGACATGAGGGACACCTCCTGAGGACAGCACGCGGCTGCTGTCTGCGGTGCCCTCGGAGTGTCCACGACACAGCCTGGCGGGCCGCGGGCGCTCCAGGACCACGGGTGGAGCGCGGAGCGCTGTGTCCTTACACTGCAGGGTCAGGACCACATCCTGGCAAGCGTACACCTACGACTCCACCATTTTATGCCAAAAGGTCTTCAAAGTTAAACCTGTCTTTCTGCAGTTTAAACACCCCCCATTGTTCTGTCCCACCCCAAAGTCAGGGTGAGTTGCCAAGGTCAGACGTGGCAGAATTCGGTGTGCAGGTTAGGGGTGGGTTGGCGGTCGCCTCTGCGGTCTGCTACAGCACCCCCGTATTTACCCTGTCCACCAGCCGTGGCGCCGACCGTGAGTGGGCCGAGAAAAGCAGGGTGGCCTTGGGCTGGACCCTCTGGCTCTAAAACGCCCTGGGAGCAGGGACGGGGCAGCACAGTCCGAAGCCTGCGCCCTGACGATCTGCGCCGGGAGGCGCTCACTGGGAAGGCCCTGCGGCCCGCGCGTGCCCATGCCGGGCAGAGGGAGCTGGCACCACACGCCCTCAGGGGCCTCACCAGTAGACAATGTGCGCCGGGAGGCGCTCACTGGGAAGGCCCTGTGGGCCGCGCGTGCCCATGCCGGGCAGAGGGAGCTGGCACCGCACGCCCTGAGGGGCCTCACCAGTAGACTGGTGTGTGCTGCCCACGCAGCACCCAGGAAATGCCACGGCGAGCTCAGACGTAACCAGGGTGCCGTGGAGCCTCGGAGGGAACCGCCATCGCCAGCCTCCAGTCCCACCGAAACTGCACCGAGGCGCAGCTCGGACCCTCTGCTCAGCAGAAGACGATGTCAGTCCCGGAGCTGGCTGGCCAGGGAGTCCCAGTGCCCTGCACAGGGGACGGGCGGACAGGCCGTGGCCTGAACAGCCGCCTGAGGGCCACAGTGCCGGTGCGTCTGCTGTGAAGGGCGGGCCACACGGCGGAGCCCCTTCCGAGCACAGATGAGTCGCGTCCACACTGCACTGACCTGAGCTGTGGAAAGTCAGAGACACGGCCGTGGATGCTCATTCAGAAGGAGCGGGGCCCCTCGGGAGGCCACGCCGCAGAGGGACGAGACAGGTGCGCAGGCCCCCCCAGGCGCCCGGTGAACCCCAGAGAGGTCGGGCCTTCAAGGAATTTTTAGACACGAGTGGCTGGTCACTGTTTTACCTCCAAGCTAAATATTTTTCCAACTGGCAACAGTTAGGAATCTACAACGGAGGAATTTAGAAAAAAGAAACACAAAAATTAAGGATTAGACTGTTTATATAAGATTTTACAAAATGGGTCATTACCCTCACATGCTGACATTATAAAATATTTTAATCACTGTTGGTTCTTAACAGACATTTCCTTTAGAAGTGTAAATCGATGTCTGGATGTGCCATTTTATAAAGCACACATTTTTTAAACCTCAGTTTAATGTACTTGGTTTAACCCAATGTACTTTTTTTTTTCCCCTCACCCAAGGACATTTTTCCACTTTTTGTTCAGAAAGAGTGGGAGGGAGGGAGGGGGAGAGAGAGAGAAAGAGACAGACATGGACGTGAAAGGGACACATCGAGTGGCCGTCACCCGCACGACCCGACCAGGGCCAGGGACAGACTGCAACCAAGGTGCATGCCCTTAGCGGGAACAGAACCTGGGTCTCTTTGGACCGCAGACCGATGCTCTAACCGCTGAGCCAAACCGGCCAGGGCCAATTTATTTTTTATTATTACATTGAAAAAAAGTTATTATCCTAATAAAACATGCCCATGTGATAAGAGAACTATTATGTGAGTAAAACTCAGAAGTGCACAGCAACTGCGTCACCTTCTCTAACGCGATGCTACTGGACGCTAGACAACTAAGAAATACACCAATACGATACAATTCTTTCAACTAAAAGTCAAAACTATCGGTACATTAAACTTTAAAAACTGCTCACTTTCCACAAACACTCGCCAGTTCTGCGGACAGAGATTTAATGATTAAATGTTAGCATTATCTTTGACTTCACTGATACCCAATTAAAGCAATGTTGACGATGAATCTAGTCTTAATATCAAATTTTAAAAGAAAGCAACTTTAAGGGGATGGGCCACGCACGCCGTTAGGCTAACAGACTACTGAGAAGTAGGCGCTCCCTTGCTCTGCTTCCCGTGGGGGATGGAGTGGTTCCAGGAGCCCAAGCTGCTCAGGAGACAGGAGAGTGAACCGCGGGCGAGCAGGGAAGGGGTTCACCGGGGGCTATCTGTGCGAACCCAGGGCCTGGGCAGAGACCAGCGCTGAAGCCCAGCGGTGCGCCTGCTCCTGGCCTCCCAGCGGGCCGTCGGGGGCTGGGGCGTGCGTGTGTGCAACAGCAGGAGAAGCTGAAACTCGGAAATGCAGTCAGTGCCTAATGATCGAGTCTCCGCAGCTACAGCATTAGAAACAATTTTAAAGCTAAGTCACCGGCACAAAAGTTCCTTAGGACCAACGCTGTATGGACTTCCACCTGATGTGCTCCCCACTCCCACCCTGCGAGGGTGTCTGCCAAGTGGAACCCCCACGAGGCGTGGGGGCTAAGCCTGGCTCCGCCTGAGCAGGATGCGACTCGGGATGCGATCCCTCTGGACCTCAACCACCTTGTGTGAGACTCGGGAGCATGTACCTCACAGGTCAGCGCGCACAGCCCAGGAGTGCCTGGCAGCGCCTGGTGGGTCAGTCCTGGTGACCCTCCTCTTCCCCACCTTTGTTCCAGCCTGAACTCTTGGTCACTATGCTCCCCCCAAGGTACAGGTTAGCACATGTGAGGTGCGTCAGAGAGAGGGCACCGTTTGGGGGCTCAGAGCATAGGACCCCCTCCGACGCCGGATCCCAGGACGGGCAGCCTCGGAGCCCTGGGCTCCCACACTCCGCCTACCAAGTCTGCACAGCCGCACAGGTCCCGTGAAACCCTGCCCTCAGCCACACGGCCAACCTGCCCCTGGAAGCAGGCTTTACGTGCCTCCTGCCCGCTCGCTCCTCGCCCTCACACGGGTGCTGGCACGAGCCTGACCCCTGCCGTCTTCAGACAGCACGGGCTGTCACGCACTGTCCCCCTTCAGGACCCTGCTCCGGCTCAGTGTCCGGCAGCTGCATTACAACGCTGCACGGACACAAGGCAAAGCAGCCACGGGGACTTATTTTCAACTCAGTTCTGCAGATTTCTTTTTATTATTATTATTATTGATTTTTTAGAGAGAGGGAGGGAGAGAGAAACAATTGGCTGCCTCCTGCACACCCCTTACTGGGGATCGAGCCCACAAACCGGGCCTGTGCCTGACCAGTAATCGAACCGAGACCTGTCAGTCCATGGACGACGCTCCTCCGTGGAGCCACGCCGGCCGGGCCGTTCGTAGATCTCTCCTCCAAGTTCAATGACCACCCCTCGCTGCCCGCTGGCCTCCCCACCCCCACCGCCCCACTGCAAAGAACAGTGTTTGAGGCTGTCCCGTCGCCGTGCGACTCCCTCCTACCGGGTGATGCCTGCAGACCCGGAGAGGCTGCCCCACAGCGCAGCTCCCCTTCCTGTTTATCTCAAAGCAACAGGAAAATAGATGGAAGGGCCCGGAGCCCCGCTGATGCTTGTGCAAGTGATATGCGTTGAAGGTTTCACGAAAACATTCCTCTTTGCCTAAGGATTTGATGATAAGTTGGTTCCTGTTTATACCAGTGCAAAAACACGCTGTCCAGAGTACGCCTTGGCGCACGGACCAGCCCATTTCGGTAGAATGCAGTTCTTTATAAAAATTTCCACGGGGGTACACCGACAGCCCAGCTAACGCGTGTCCTTTTCCCTCCCCCTATGCACGCTTGCAGGATTCACCTTAAAGGACTTACAGGGACAGCCGGCAAAATCAGTAGCATAAGCCAACCGGGAAATGATTTCAGCACGAAGGACGCAGACAAGGACAAATGTATTTGCAAGTGCTCACAGATGCTCACGGGAGGTAGGATGGCTTTCTCTTTCCTATTTGTGTTGGCAAGGATGTGCGCCGCAGAGCGGAGGGCTGGCTGTGTGGACTTCGACCTGTGCTGGGTGACAACGTCCAAATTTCAGAAATAGACATGCTCGCCGGATGGAGATGTTTTTTGCTCTTTCCTACTGTTGAGCTAGGACTGTCCGCAGGCCGCTGTGTCTGCTCAGCACCCGCCCCGGCGGGGGGGGGGGGGGTCGCTGCGCTCTCTGGGGGCCATACTCGCTGAGTGGCAGACCCAGAGAGACGGCTTAACCTCATTTTGCTTTATTAAAAAGGCTGAATATTCAAAATGGCAACCACACGCGTGACAGGGTCACCGCCACAGAAACGTGTCCCCGTGATAACTGACTGCCCAGGCAAGGAACAGCAGTCACCGTTGTTAGAGATTTCATTCATACACAGCAAACAACACACACAAGGAGAGTGAGGAGCACCTGCTTTTCGGGACACAAATGAAAACGAACCGGCCGGTTTGACTTCAGGCCTGTATTTTCAGTCTTCCTGTTTCCTACCTTCCATGTCAGACTTTTTTTTTTAAGAAAAAGGAAAACACATTTACCTCCAAGCAGATGGCTGCTGGAACGGCCACCGAAACGGCCCGATTCCTGTTCAGAAGCATTCTAGGGTTCAGAGGTAGGAACCCACCACTAAAACACAGCTTCTCCGTTTTCTAAGTTTACCATCGACTCACTGGAATAATCAGTAGTAACTGAGGGAAACATGAAGTCTGACAAATGCTGTCCAGTTAATTCCAAAAACACTGTGAGATTCAAACAACACCAAGAGCTCAGCTGCAGGGCTCCAGGGTGGGGACGCCCCGAAACGCCGGACCCCGGGAGCTGTGCACCGGGCCCCTCGGGAGGAGCTGGCCCACATGCTGCACACACACGGTGAGGGTCCCAGCCCACCGAGTGCGGGCTGTCCCCAGCCCAAAGGAAGGGTGTGTGAGAATAATCTGAGGCCCAGTAATGCCGTGTTCTCAGAGGGATACTGACGAGTGAGTGTGCATGGGAGCGCTCACCCCGCAGCCCCTAGACAGGCCATCCCTACGCAGACATGCAGTGGGAAGCACAGGCCCTTCCCTGGGAGGCGCGGTCATTCCAGTAATGCCGTGTTCTCAGAGGGATACTGACGAGTGAGTGTGCATGGGAGCGCTCACCCCGCAGCCCCTAGACAGGCCATCCCTACGCAGACATGCAGTGGGAAGCACAGGCCCTTCCCTGGGAGCGCGGTCATTCCGGTGACGCCAGCGAGGGCAGCTGCTCTGCCGACACGTACGAGCTGCCTGCGGCCCTCGTCCTGCCACGTCGGCCCTTGTTAAAGCCAACGGAAAGGGGAAGAGGTGTCCACCCCGCCTGCCGCTCCTCACTGCACCCGTGGACTCAGGAGAGGGGCGGGAGCAACCAAGGGCAGTGCTGCTCTAGTCCAGACTCAGGGCCGAGAGCAGATGGAAAGAAACTCACCCCGAGGCAGGATCAGGGCAGTTCCGGCCCCAAGGTCAGAGGCCAGCCCGTGGCCCGGCCACGGACCAGCAGCCTAGATGTCTGCATGGACGGGCGGCAAATCCCGGAGGTAAGTCTCAGAACGGAGAGATCTTTAATCCTGTGATGATTCTGAGTATTTTGAAGAATTCGAATGAAACACAAATATCTTATCACGCTGAGATCAATCTGAATCCGCTCGAGTCCTGAGGCTGTTCCCATCAGGGAAGAATCTGGGCACCTGGTTGTAATGACCACAGCCCAACATGCAAGCAATGGAACATAACACAACATCAGGGCTGCAGCAGGGCATTCTCACAAGAAACAAAACATCCAGATACAACTGAAGCCGCTCTCCCGACCGGTCCCTGAGCTGACCGCGGGGCTGAGGTCCCTCACATCACTTATTTGTCTAACTACCTAGCAAATATCCACAATGCGGTGATTGTGCTGTGTCCTGACATGTTTATGTAAACGCCTTGTGCTCCGGGTCCTTCCAACAGGGCCTTTGGGATTCACGCAGATCAGTGCATGGGGTGGAGGCCACACCCTCCCTGCAAACCCAGGTTCGCAGGCCTGCTGTGGTCTCTGGGGCTTTGAGCCCCAGCCCCGAGCCCAGCCACGGGGTGCAGATGCGGGCCCAGCCCTTCCCTGCGAAGGCGCACACACCCCCTGGCTTCACCTTGGTGAGCCCACCACTGTGGCTTTAAATTTCTTCCTGTCCCTTTAGCTAGCTCCACCAGGAACTTAAAACTTGGGTTATAATTTAAACAAAAAGAATCTCTTTGTAGGGGAGGGGAGCCTGCATCAGTAGTTCACTGTGTTGCTGGAAAGGAGCCCCGATGAGAGCTGCCCACAGGCCCCGGTTTTCCACATCCCCCCTACTCCGCGCTTGTCAAATCCGGCCTGTGGGCGGCGGCCTCCTGCGCAGGGCGCTGGCTGCCGGCCTTTGCACACAGCACCCAGAAGGGGGGCGGGGCGAACACCCGCCCCCCGGAGCAGTGGTTCAGCAGTGCAAGGGTGCACAGCCTCACCTCGCAACTCCAACCAGCACGCGCTGCCGCAGGGACACGCAGGGATCTGACGTGCACGGAATGCGCGCGTGCATCAGCTCCGCGCCTGACTCACCGTGCGACGGTAGGGTCACCCAGCTCCTAATTCCTCTGTCTACTTTCACAGGCTGGTGGTTTGATGCATGTGGTCCTTCCAACCTGAACGGAATGTACTACCCACAGAAGCAGAACACTAACAAGTTCAACGGCATCAAGTGGTACTACTGGAAGGGCTCCGGCTACTCGCTCAAGGCCACGGCCATGATGATTCGACCCGTGGATTTCTAGACGCCTGCACGTACCGCACGGCGGGGGACGGGGCGGCACTCACGGGCTCCGTCCAGAGCCCTGGAAGACACAGCCGCACGCGCGCCCCGCCACCCTGGAGGGACGCGTGCCCGCGGGCTCCGCCACGGACACCTGCATCGCCGACAAACCGAAGCGCAGCCCAGAACCTCCCCGTGACCTGGCAGCACAGCGGAGCAAGGACGAATCTGCGGTCGCAAATAAGACTGACGATTCCCAGACTCTCCGGTCACACGGAGAATGTCGGGTGCGGGCTCATCAGTAAATAACTGGAAAACAGAGCACTGAGGCTATAGGGCAGAGATAGGCGTGGACTGCATTCTTCTGAGCACTGTTTATAGATCGTGTACATGGCCATGTGGCCCGATTCAGCATCGCTATCTTAATTAAAAGGAAGCAAACCTTCTCTAAGCCATATGGATAGAATATATACTTCAGGGATTTTCTGAGAAGTGGTTATTAGCAGTTGACTCTTCGGAGAAGGAAAAACAGAGTTAATGCCTTTTTGCTCCTCTTCTTAAGTGCTTTACATTCTCAGTTTGAAAACCGCATATTCCACAGATGTTGCCAGCTTAGTTTTACGTTTATGCTCAGATACAGATTTCAAGTTTATACGGTGAAAACTTCCGGGATCCTCCAGGATGTATTCTTTTACTTTATGTAAAGATTGTACTATTTTTTTTTTTTTTTTGCTGCCTAACTGTTAAATATGAAGGTATGTTAAGTAATTAAATATAACTTATTAGGTGAGAGACTGTGTTTGGCTTTTATGATAATATTTACAGTTCTGTAACTGGGGCCCAAAACCACCGACTGTGCCTCGTGACAAGGAGAATTCTGATCTTTCATGCGGAAATGATACACTTAATTTCATGGCACAGAGACTCCGCTACCTTTTCCTCACTCTCCTGACACCGTCTCTTCCCCCATCTAGTAGCCTGTACTCCAAGGACTACGGTTTGCCTGGGCTGAGAAAACCCTCCAGTCCGAAGCAGGCACAAAGCTATGCTTCAGAGCTAGACTCGCCCCTGAGGTTATTTAAGGGGAAAAAAAATTGCATCAGTAAGATTTTTTTTTAAATGTCTACCAAAAAACTTTTAAAAAGCGCAAAACCAAAATCCACCGTGTTCACCGTGTAATCGTGTGCGGACTACTCGGAGAGCGTGGAAGAGGGCTCAGGGCTCCCTGGGTGGGAGGGGACACCCGTGGGGGGCCCACGGCCTGGAGCCATTTCTCAGACACCTGCTTCCGTCGTGGTGGCTGGGGTGCTGGGACCCACACTGTCCCACCCGTCGTGTCCTTTGTTCCGTGTCTCCTCCCCAGCTCACTGGACCCCGCAGCCCCCCCCCAACTTAGCACACTCCACACTGCCGCATGGTCCCCACCCCTCACCGCACGGTCAGGCGCGCCTTGCTCCCTTGTGTAGCCTCTCAGCGAGCGTGTACACTGAGACAGGAACCTCATCACGGCACGTGGGAGCCTTCACCCACTAAACAGAGGAACCGGCTGCGCACTGAGTTAAAAATATAAGCAAAGAGCACTGGTGGAAAGGAACGGTAGGTGTCTGCAGCATCCTAGTACCACGTGACAGACAGACAGACGGAGGGACAGACGGCGGGGCCGTAGCAAAGAGCACTGGTGGAAAGGAACGGTGCCTGCAGCGTCTCAGTGCCACGTGACAGACAGACGGACGGAGGGACAGACGGCGGGAGGGGCCATAAGCAAAGAGCTCTGGTCAAAAGGAAGGGCAGGTGCCTGCAGCGTCTCAGTGCCACGTCACAGACAGACGGAGGGGCCGCTGAGGACATACTCTGTCTGCATCGCTTGCCCACGCAGGCAGGTTCAATGAAGGTCAAGGGCAAACGACACTGTGGTACTCGGGGTGCCGTACGCTCTCCTAAGACGGGAAAGAGGGGGAGGGGCTTTTACTCTATGCTTTAATTCCTCACGTGGTATTTCAAAGAGTCTTGCTGAGAGAAATTTTTTCTCTCCTTAAGAAAACATTTATAAAGTGGACAGGAAATCAAAGCAGTAATCTTAAAAACGAAAACAAAACAACCCAACCACCTTGAAAACCACAGCGATTCAGGGCAGCGGTCAATTTCACACTCAAACAGCCAAAAACACGTGAAGCCTGGCTGCAGATAAAAACCACCATTTATCTTTCAGGTAATAATCTTTTCAATGAAGGAACCTTCACACACCAGATAACAGTTTTGAAAATGAATGCCAGCTTCTGCATAACCTCTCCTTCCCAGGGACCTAGAATTACCTACTAGAGTATTTCCAATCTTCAAAAAAAAAAAAAATTCAGAACTTGGAACGTTTCCATTAGCACTTGAAATACTTAAAATTCAGTGAAGTTGAAGCTGCGTTTAGGAAAAACAGTAAAACGTAAAGTTCCATATCATAATGCTGGCAGCCTACAATTTTTATACCTATCAGTTCTATCTCTACTGACACTGATGGCATTATCTTTTACAGCAGCAAGCAAGATGCAATACTATCTTCTCAACAACCACTCTTTTTCGTTTTTGTTTTTCTCCGCCCCTAGGACTTCTGTAATTACATTTTTTTGAGACCGCATCCCTCACAACTTTTTGCAGAACATTCTCGCATTTGTTCTCACCGATAAACAGAGGAAAGGCGTTAAGTTCTGTGAAGGTCTCTTTAGTTGTGCACAGAACTTTAGTGTGCACCTAGTTGTGCTCTTGACATAACGAACACCTGAGTCTATAGCTACGCTTGTAACGATTTCTCGAAAACGCCAGGTTGGGTTTCCCATCACGAAATAACGTGCGACTCACAGGAGCTGCAGGGAAGGAGTCGCAAAGCTCGAAGGGCTCCTCAGAAATCCAGTGACCCAGTTCCAAAGACCACAGCACCTACAACGACAGAAAGCAGGGCACTGTGAGTGTTTATCGGGCGCTTGGCGAACAGCAAGCCACGCAGCAGACGGAGCAGAGCCGGGCAGGTGGGAGCCCGGCACACAGCACACGCCACAGTCTGATGCGGTCGCGTCCCCGAACACCAGGCTTCCCTTGGAACTTTCAGGCTCGTCAGTGTCATCCTAACAAGTCCTTGGTGAGGGGACAGCTCACGGTGACCAGTAATCAGGGTTAGCATCCTGGTGAGGCAGATACTGGACACCCCGATTCTAAACATAGGAAGTGCTACACTGTTCAAAAAAATCCCAAGTTTCCAATTTAAGGAGTCATTACAGACAATGCTAGTAAGGATTCCACAATCTTATTGATTAAAAACAAACAAACCCCACAAGTTAGAAGACAGACCATAAGCCTACATTCAAAATGTAATCCTTTGGTGCGTGACTTTGTCTCTAACATTATTACTAATGTTTTCAGGAGAAGTTCTCCATAACACACTTGCAAGTCCCAAGTCCTATCCAGTGTTTTTATTTTTTAATATTTTTTTAGAGAGAGAGAGAGAGAAGAAGGCAGGGAGAGAGAGAGAGGGAGGGAGGGGAGGGAGAGACACATCAACCGGCCGCCTCCTGGGGATGAAGCCCACAACCCGGGCATGTGCCCAGCCCAGAACAGAACAGGTGACCTTGGTACACGGGATGATGCCCAGTGTACCACACCGGCCAGAGCCCTACCCAGAATTTCAGAGTAGAATATCTCACGAACAAGCTGTCATCATCATCATCATTCGCCACTTGAAGCCACACCCTTTTAAATGATGCAAACAATGTTTCCCTTCAATTCAACAAGGCTGAGATCCTGGAGCCATCCCAGCCCTGAGACCAAGCTCCCTCTGAGCCTGTGTCTACCTCCAGCGGAATTTCACAGCTGAAATGACCAAACCATTACATGTCCTTCCTTACGCTCAGGGGACCCGTTCTCTCTCGAGTCACTGCGTAAAGCTTGCGTTCTTGTTGCTGCATCACCGGAAACGAGGCCCGATCCTCCTCTTGCCCAGTGTCTAGAGTGTAGAGCCATCTACGGGAAGGCGTCTGAGACGGTCCCCTTTCACACACGGCCGCTGGCGGTTATCCAACGCGAGACAGATGTGTCTCTCAGAAAGGGGGTGTGGCGGAGGCCTGAAGACGGGAGCAGGGGACAGACCAGCACTGGCCTGGACCCAACAGACACGCTCATCTGTTCAACACCCCTTCCTTCTGCTCACTATCCGTCATCTGCCACCACGAGTAAGAGCCCACGCTAGGGCCTGGAGACTCGCCCACGCCCAGCAGAACTCACACTCCGCAGGGCCACGGAGGCAGCCACAGCCCAGGGCTGTCCAGAGCTGTGGGAACCCACAGGAGGAAGCCGCGGCCGCAGTCCCGGGCTCGCAGAAGGGCCGCCGAGGACCTGATGCCACCCCGTGTCCTGGAGGACGCGGACCAGCTCAGCAGGCACAGACAGAGTGGGAGGGGGAGGGCACCCCAGCGCAGACCGAGTACCACGAGCTACACGGGCTCCCTTTTCTGGCCAGAGCTGAGGGTGCTTGGGAAGAAGCGGTAGGAAAACGGGTTGCTTACATCCCTTTGGTGAGGGACAACAGAGACCCCGTTTCTACCTGTGTGCTGAGGGGCAGGAGAATCAGAAGATAGGCCAGAAAGGAGGGGAAACAAAGGGTTCCTGGGGCGGGGGCCCAAGAGGGTTTCATGGGAACGGGGCACACAGGGAAGACCTGCGTCCCCGAGAGGGAATGCGCCAGGCTGTGTTCTCAGGGACCCGCTGCCTCCACTCAGATCTGTGTGCTCACGAGCAGTTTGTCCATTACGCTGCTTTTCTGTGACCCCTGACTTTTACTAACCTACAAAAAGAAAAGAAAAAAAAAGGAAAGAAAAGAAAAAAGACTTATCTTAAGAAATGCAATGAAAGGAAGTATCAGAAATTTAGTAACTCAACACTAAATTCATGGTTGCACCCGGCTCTTTCTGGTGGCTGACACACTCAATAACACCGCCTGTCTCCCTCACACCAGTGGAGGTACCTCAGGGTGGACAGAGACACACCAGCAGATGTGTGGCTCCCTACAGGTTCACGGGGTTAGCCCAGGCAAGGAAATGTGAAGAGTTTTGAAACCAGGTCCATTTTGGACATGCGGCAACGTGACCAACAGGACAGTCAAAGACACACTGTACCAGTGACGGAGTCCAGGAAACCACCCTTAAAAATGCGTGCGGCATCCAAGTTCAGATATAATCCACATTAAAATGTCAACTAAATTTAAACAACCTCTTGGAGAAAATTTATGTTGTCTGAGTTTGTCTCTCTCTAAATGTTATGAAAACAAAACCATGAGGCATCACCGACAGAATTTTCCTAAGTGTATTAATATATTTCGTTTATCTAGGTGCCGCAGAAATGAATACTGTCCAGAGATAACAAAAAACACAGATTTGACTTTAAGAAAATCAAATCAGAAATATATTATGGCCCTGGCTGGTTTGCTCAGTGGTTAGAGCATCGGCCTGTGAACCAAAGAGCTCCAGGTTCGATTCTGGCCAAGGGCACGTGCCTTGGTTGTAGTTAATCCCCAGCCCCAGTTGGGGTCATGTGGGTGGCAGCCAATCTATGTTTCTCCCCTCCCCCCATTCTGAAGATAAATGTAAAAATATCCTTGGTTGAGGATTAAAAAAAATATATATATATATGTATAAAAAATGGTAAAAGGTATTAACTTTTCCCATTAGTACCTTCACTAGCCAAACTTATCGTGACCTTAGTATTCAAATAGAAAGAATATAGTCTGTAGGACAATAGTAAAGGCTATAAGTGACCTTAAAAATAAAAAGTTAACCCAACATATTTCCTTTAATATATGTGATAGAAAAAAAATAATTAAGCTAAATAAAGCAAGAAATTTAGTTGAAGGGATACAGAGGATCAAACACCGTGTTTACTAAAATGAGGGCCGAGCTATTTCAGCATCCACTACAAACGAATACGATACTTCAGACACTTCACAATCGTCACTCATAAAACCGCAACCTTGACAAATTGAAACAGGAACCGTTTCCTTGACTTCTCATTCGACTGACAGCAACCGACGAGATGACGTCCACAGCGCAGGACGGCCGCACAGGGCGGCCCAGCCCGCACGGCACACACGGCCTCTCGTTCGTGTACACGAGTCCTTCTACGCGAACAGGGGAGGCAGAGCGGCGACGGGACCAACCCAGAAACCGTGCTGCTGTCGAATGCCCCCCAGAAGAGCATCCTACATGGGAAAGACCACGAAGTCGACTACGGTTCAACACAGCGAAAAGCCCCTCCGCGCGGCCCGCCCTCGGCTAGTGACGCAGTGAAAGGCACGGAAAGAGCCCACGGCAGATTGAATGTGAAGGCATCTTGGAGGCTGCGGAGAGGATGGGTCAATGGTCACTGAGCAGAAGGGCAGAGAAAAGCTGGAATTTAAGTGTCTAGGGAAGAAAGTCAATAGAAAGTGTCCAATGACCTCCTCAGATTCCCAGACAGAGACATGGGTGGACGCGATACGTCTAAAACTGGGGTGTGGAACAGGGTGAAAGGAGGAATCTTTGACCGCCAGCCCACTCTCCTCTGGAACAAGGCCGGGGTGAAATCAGACGGGCGTTTTGGGGAGCAATGGTGAGACATGCAGAGAACACCTCCCGGGACAGCCCTCACCCCGGGCGTTCTTTTCTGGGGACAGTATCAGCTCAGGAAAAGGAAGATATACACATACTGGCCCATGGCCCTCCCTCATCAGACACCCCATCATATCACAGTATCCACGTACCTCGCAGGCGAAGAGTTTCGATCAGCTTTTCACAGCCTCCCGGTACACAGGATTTACGCCACAGATAAGTCTCTGGGACAAAAACACAAGCCAAACCAAACCAAAGCGACTCCAGGGTCACACCGATGCCAAGTCCCAGGAGAACAGCAAAGGGGTTCATGGGTGGAGTCATCAAGGAAAATCACCGGGACTACAAGATCACCTCACGTGCAGACGGGGCTGGGGAGAAGGATGACGTTTTTAGAAATCTCTGCAGTTGTTCTGGCCGGTTTGGCTCAGCGGTTAGAGCGTCTGCCTGCGGTCCAGAGAGGTCCGGGTTCGGTTCCCGCTAAGGGCATGTACCTCCGTTGCAGTTTGTCCCCGGCCCTGGTTGGGTCAAGCGGGAGGCAGCCACTCGATGTTTCTCTCTCTCTCTCTCTTCCTCTCTTTCCCTCCCACTCTATCTGAACAAAAAATGGAAAAATGTCCTTGGGTGAGGATTAAAAAAAAAAAAGAAATCTCTGCAGTAAATTCGTGATAGGTACATAGAAAACTAAGTGATCACAATAACTCTCAAAGAGCAGCTCAGAAAAAACAAGTGGACAAGGATTACCAGAAAGGAAGTAGTATCATAGTACATTATATGGCTCAGCTCAAGTAGCAGTCACAGAATCACCCATATGTGTGTATGTGTGACTGTGTGTTCAAACGCATACATAAAACCTTAAACAAAAATTACAACCATATTGAAAAATGGAGGCGTAGGTACTAGTAAAAGCCATAGTCATGTTTTAATCTTCTATAGAAGTCTACAGATATCTAAAAGTGACCCAAAAAACGGCAAGAAAAGCATTTTATTTAGAAATATGTAGGTAAAATATCAAATGGCTATTTTAAGAGTGGGAATTGGGCTGGGAAACAGGACAGGCAGTGACATAAATTTTATTATAAACCTCATAAATTAGACATGATTTTCTAAACATTTCATCTTGGCAACTGTTAGACTTAGAAAAGAATTGCCCAGATGGTACAGCGAGTTCTCATCTACCCATCACCTAGATTTCTCTATTGTGCGAGTCTCCAACTTTGCTCTTCTTTTTCAAAAGTACTTTGCCAACTAGAACTGTGTGTTGAGATCTACAAAACATTTTGCTAGGCTTGTAACTGGAACTGA